ACGTGTGCTCTTCCGATCTCCCCAAAACCCCAAAACCCCATTAGAGATAATTAAAATAGGAAAAGAATAAAGATTTAATAAAAGTGATAAATTGCTAGATCGATAGACTTTTACTTTGGATCACATTTGTATTCGATCTATATCAAACTCATTCATTGTCATTTTGGTATCCGTATTATTAATGATGCTGACTCATTTAATCTTGATTCATTTATTGCTAAACTATCATTCCATATCCTGGATTTTTAATGCTAATACTGTTTCCTCTTTGCTGCCCTTTCTCTACTGCAAATAATGGCTTCATGGATTTATTTGTCTAAGCCTCGCCTTTAATAGAAGACGAAGATGAGTTTTGGCGATAAATCTGCACAGTTTAGTTGAGGACTCCTTGTCTTGCCAAGTCATCAAACTTAGATCCTAATAAGCCAGATGATTAAGACTATTGATTAAGATGACTGTGGATCTATTGAGTTGATTCTTTCTTTATTAGAGGCGTCTAATTTATATTGCTTGAATATACAGGTTCATTTTACAACTCATCGTCATTATAATCATCTTCTCCTTGAGAATCATCTTCATTATCGTCAATGTTTGTGTTATTTTTAGGCTTTCTCCCTCTTTTTTTAGTTCTCTTCTTCTTCTTTTTGTCTCCTTTCTATGAATTGCCTGGCACACCAGCTGTGCTAGAGAGGCCTCTTTATGATACATAGCCTCCTGACTTCTCTTCATATTTGGGAAATTTCTCAGGACTCATATTGTGCTTGCCACAAACAATGTACTTTTTGGTTAGTCTAATTGCTTTCTCATCCTAAGGTAAACATTTAAGATGGTAAGCAGTTGGGCATGTTACACATTAGACTATAAGGACACTGTCTCCAGATGCTTGGCATATTTCACAGTAGTGGAGAGGGCACCTAAATCTTTAGACCTTCATCGAATTAATGCAAGATACGTTTTTATTCTTGTATACACAATTAACATGATAGTACTTGAAGCAAAGACCAAGTGTGCATCTCACTACATATCTCTTGTCATTAGGTTCAGGCTCAGGGCTGTGAAGGCCATTATTATTCGATTTCTATTGCTTGGAGTCCGATCCTGGTTCTTCTTTTTTAGTAAATGTTCCGATGTTGGACAGGACTATTTTAGTTGACTATTCCTTATCTAACTAATGCTGATCTTCCTCCTATGGAGTCTCTTTCTTTATTAAGCAATCTTTGTTAGTTAAATCCTGCTCGTCTTCCTAACAGTTAGGAATCAAGTTTTCTGGTGGCTATTATTCTCCACCCTCTTTCATCTCTTCGAGATGCTCCTGTTGATTTTCGTCTTCAATTTCCTCATTTTGGTCTACTTCTGAATCCTTTTCATCCTCAATTTAGTCATTATTGTTCATTTCATCTTCATTATTGTCCTCGTTCTCGAAGTTATTCAAACTAGATTGAGCTAAATCTGGGAATCCAGCTGCTTTCGGCTTGCCCTTCTTAGGGAAAAGTAGAATCTATCCTCTTTTTTTGCAGCAGAAGCAAAGAGCTCTATTGTCTAAGCAGTCATCGCATTACCACATTACTGAGTTCTACTGTCTATTTCTTCTTGAATCATTTGGTTGGAAGAGTTAGTCTTTGCAAGCCTCATGGAAGAATCTTTGGCAGTAGCTTTGGCAGAAATATTGACATAGATTCCCTAGAGTTTCTGGTTGCATGCAATATGAACATACTATTCCATTCTTCTCGTTTTTCTTGACAATCTGCTCGTTTATCTTGGGAAGATTTTTGTTAGCATGATAATGACCTTGATTTCCTGATCCATGATAGGCATCGTCTCTGCTAGTCTTTTGTCTTTTTCTTTAATGCCTGAGCCCGTAGCCAAATTCATCACTATCGCCGTAGTCTTCATCTATTTATTATTTTCTACCTCCTTTGCCTTGGTACTCTTTATCCTCTTCATCGCCATAGATGTCATCATCTTCTTCAATACCAGATCCTTCGCTTTCATCAAAGCTCTTCGAAGCTCCTTGCCTTACTCCATTGGCATTATTCGGATTCTTTGGTTTCCTGCCCCTCTTTTTCAGCTGAACCTCTCCATCGAAATCTGCCTTTTAATTCTGCACTTGAGGAACTCTTTTCCTGAGTGTTCTGTTCTTGGCTTGATCGTCACTATCATCAATAATAATGTCGTCATCTTCCATTTTGACTTCTTCTTCGTCCTCTTCTCCTATGATTTAGTCCTCGCCATCCTAGAACATATTCTGCAGAGGCTTCTTTCTCTTATTTGGCCTGAGCATTTCCCTTAGCCACTCTTTGCATTTCTGCACATAGATCAACTTCATACCGTTGAGTTTAATCATTTTCTACAGAATCTGCCTTAGTTTCTCTTCTTCAGACTCTAGTTACTTCTTGCTTGCTACTGAGGTCTTGGCATCGAATTTAGTGTTCATGAAGTCGTTAAAGACTATCTCGAGATCCTTAAAGAACTCAATCTGCATCTTCTCACTCTTCGTTATCTCTTTCTTCTCCTTTTTAAACCTCTTCTCCAATTCACTTATTGAGATATTTGAAGAATTTTGGAAAATAATGTTCCAGTAATTAGGATCATTGACATCAATGAGATTTTCATATTTAGCAGCATTGAACGTGCTCTTCTGTAATGTATAAATGCCCTTGCTGTACATGAACTCCTTCTTCTTGCCTGTAGCTAGGATTTCATCAATGTCCTTGTTGAAGTTGACCTGGTCATTGTCGTCATCATCGATGAACGCATAGGCTCCATACTTAAGAAGATTTTCAATTTCCTTTGAATCCTGTTTGAACTCAGTTAAACCTCTCAGATGCAAGCTCGACAGTTCCATATCGTCATTCTAATGGAAAGCACCTTTGCTAAACAGGGCTTGCTCCATTCCAAGTTTCTTCGAGGCTCTCTCGAACATTTGCTCTTCATAGGTCTTCGAAGTGATTAGTCTAAACACCTGAACTTCGAATTTCTGGCCGATTCTGTGGGCTCTAGCGATAGCCTGCAAGTCATTCTAAGGATTCCAGTCTGAGTCAAAGATAATAACCACTCTCGCTGATGTCAAATTGATACCCAGTCCACCCTATTAAATGTGTTTAAAGCTAAAAGAAATATTACAGCTCTGGTTGTTAGCAAGAAAACTCCGAATGTCTTATCGTCATTGAATCTTTGGATTGCGCTAATTCTATCTTGAGTCTTAACACTACCTGTCAGTTTTTCATAAGGCACTGCTTTCATCTTCAGATATAGTTCGATAATGTCAAGCATTCTTTTGAACTGAGAGAATATCAGCATTTTATGATTCTCCTTCTTGAACTTCTCAATGAACTTGTCTAAAAGCATCAGTTTACCGCTAGACTCAAGCAATTTCTTGTAGAGGTCTTCCTCAGTTTTGCAATCTTTAGTGAGTTCTTCTTCGACACCTTTGAGCAAGTACAAGTGGTTGCAGCACTTTCTAAGTTAGACGTCAATATTGTTGAGTTGAGATGTCTTTATAGAGTTAGTTCCGAACTTAGCCAATATCATTCTGTTTTCACCGTAAATACCCTAGTAGTAAGTCTTTTAAACTGTGGTGAGTCCGACCTCAATTACAGTTTCTTGAAGTGGAGGGATGCTGTTGTCAACTTCTTCTTTTAGTCTTCTGAGGAAATGAGGCTTTAACATATCGTGCAGTTTTTGAATTTACTCAAAGCTCTCTAAATTTCCATACTGCTCTAGGAAGTCTTCAAGAGAGTTGAATTTCTCAGGTTCGATATAGTTCAATAAAGTCCACAACTCTTTGGTGTTGTTCTGCACAGGAGTTCCTGTAAGCAGCAGAATCCTCTTGCAAGGGTGGTCTTTTAGAAGTTTAAGAGTCTTCGCTTGCTTATTCTTGAGTCTGTGAGCCTCGTCCACCACAATATACATGAATGGGATCTCTTGAATGATTGGATTGAGGTCTTGCATAAACACTTCGAAAGAGGTTATGATGATGTTGAACTTGTAAAGCTCTGATTTCTGAGTGATTTGGCCTTTGTAGGTGACGTCTGTGTAAAACCACTCCCAGAATCTAATTTCGCTTCTTCCTTCTGAACTGCCTTGGTCATAGTAAAGCACAGAGTTCAGAGTAGTCCATTCATCTGCGATTCGCTTCCAATGCTCTAGAGTCGTCAAAGGAGCTAGGATTAGGTAGGGTCCTTTTAGTCTGTAAATTCTATTGAAGTGTTCAAAAAGAGATAGTGTCATGATTGTTTTTCCAAGCCCCATTTCATCGGCAAGTACAACATTCCTGTGCTAATGCCAGGCTCTTATCAGCCAGTTTAGACCTTTTATCTGATAATCCTTTAATTAAAATTGAGGTTCTATTAAAGTTTATAACAAATCAATTTGACTTACTTTTGAACTGGGGTACAATTCCATTTTGCTGATTGTACTAAACAACTTAATAGAAAGAGTTTCCCATGATATCTTGAATCTTCTGGTTCAACATCTGCCTATTCAACTTAGACTCCTATAGAGCCATCTATGCTTCGACATTAGGGTCTAATCTTTTGTTCTGATATTTCTTTTCAGTAATTCTCAGCATCTTTTTGTGATTTTTAATCAAAGAGTCTAGTTTATCTCTCTAGTTCTGGTCTAAAGCTCTGTTGAACTTAAAATAGTCTTGAAGTTTTTCCTCGTAGATCTGTTTCAGAACAGATTCAGGTTCCCAAGTTGATTGACTATAAGATAAACTCTTCCATTTGACACAGTATAGTTAATCTACAAAGCTCTTTACCTTTATTGCTTAATCGATCTCCTGTTGGTTTAGGTACTGGCAACTCTGGAGATTCTAAGGAGATTCACCAGGTTCTAAAAGCCAGGATAGATCGTAATGACCTGGATCCATAATGCATGGAGCCACAGGGGCATCTTGTTGCTTTTCATTGTACTACTCAAGGTTATCTGGTTGAACAAGATTAGGATCAATGGTTCTTGCTGCTAAGCCTTAAGCTGAGTTGCTTGATATGCTGGGAAGTTAATGGATGTTTTGGTTGAAATTGTTGTTGATTGCAAATTTGTTGCTTCCCATGATGTTTGTATTTTGCTAAGCTGGTGGCTATTGCATTTAGTTTCCGTATCCTCCTCCAAACATTTGCTGATTGCCTTGAGGCATATCATTAGATCCAAATGGGTTAAACCCTGGTTAAAGACTTGGCAGTTAATTTGAGAAGTTTCCTAGCATCATGGACATCTCGTCGTAGGCATTGCTAGAGTTTAGAGTGCTCTAAAACTGTGGTAGTTTCATCATATTCATGTTGTTAGGCTGCTAATTCATCATTGGATTCATCATTCCTGGATTAGGGTTTTAGATCAGACCCATAAAGTTATTCGAAAATGGATCAAATCCAGCCATTTAAGGATTAAGCTAACTTAATTGACTCAAGGATGGCAGTTGGAAGCCTCCTTAAGGTTGATTTTGAGGTTAGTTAAAACCTTAAAGGGAGTTTATTGATGGTAATTAGCCAGGAGTATTGAATCCTTGCCTTAGAGCGAGTGCTAGTTACTCTTGTTGATTTTATTGGGCTAATAGTTGCATCATATCTTAGCTCAAATTATTTTGCTGTTGAATTCCCATCATCTGATTGAAGTAGTTCAAGTTCTTATCTTGCTAACTTTAAAGAGCCTGCATTTCCATGATTTAATGCTATTCATTGATCATTGGTGGATTTTCTGAAAAATATATTGAAATTAAAATAAATTTACATTTATTTAGTTGGTTTAAAAATGGATTCAGCATCATGTTTTACTGCATCTAGTTCAACATTGGCAAGCCTAATTAGTGCTGTTGTTGCTCCATTTAATTTTGAAGTTACCCTATGATTTATTGTCAATACCAATGATTAATACTTACTTTATTGCATCCAATCTAGAGACTGCTAATTTTATAGGAATTCGGGCTATAGTTGATTCATGTTTGGAGTTTTTAATTACTGCTGAGGCATCTAACCCATAAATCCGTGGTTCATTCCTTGTCCCAACTAATTTTGCATTTGTTAATGGATCTGATTTGGATCTTAGAATTAATTGGTCTGCATCATCATAGGATTCATCTGTCCGAGTGGATTCATAATTTGATTTAGGGAGGGTAGATTAGGTGTCTACTGCATCCCCTATAATTATTATTGAGGCTGCTATTACTGTTATTATTGATTTTAAATTTGTTGAAATCCAAAGTTTTAAATTTGTTGATTTAAGTGTTAAGAAAGAGGAGTCCCAGTTCTGTTAATTCCCATATCCCCTCCCATTTACTAGTGTTGCATCATCTAAGGAGTGAGTGATTGAGGAGGAGGCATATTTTGAATTTAAAGATTTGGCACTTGGTTAGGTATCATAAAATTCTGACCTGAGACTTATGGAGTAGGTTATTCAATTTGAGGTGCATTCAGAATCTATGGCTTTTATTAGTCCGTTGGAATCTAATTTTATGTTACTGTTGAGCTTCTCTATGTCTTCAGTAAACTTTGTAGGTTAACAATAAGCTGAGTTTCTTTCTTCTCAGCCGAGGGAATGGGAGTCTACTTGATATTGGAATCAATAGATTTATTTAGATTTTCAGGTGGTGCTGGGGGGAGTGCGATACCTGTGTTAAATCTTGTTTTTTATTCTTGATACCAGTCATTATATAAATGATAGGCAAGGCATCTGAGTGCGTCACATTATTTTCTCAAGCTTCTTTTCTGACTTTTATAATAAGTTCGGCAATTTTTGAAAAGAAGTCCAAGATCAATCCAGAAATCGATAGGTTACTAGTAGGTCCTATAGAATAGTTTATATCTTGATATATTTTTATTACTTATTATAGAGCCTATTCATTATCATAACCAAGTCAATAGGTTATTTAATCACCTTGAAGTAAGCTGCTAAATCCTCGCTAAACATATAGTTAAAATCAATAATTAGCCTTACTTCTCCGCATCTAGCTGCTCACAGAATGCTAAGCCGATGGGCACATTATTTTTTCTGAAATTAGCCAACACATTTACTACCTTCAGACAATCTTCCTGCCATTTCCCTCTAATTTACTTAGCTTTATTTGGGTGAATCACAGGGAAAAGCTGGGTAGTAGACAGAATCCTTTCAACTGCTACGAAATTTTTATCAAAGAACTGGCACAGATCCTCACCATCAGGACCTAGTACTGGAATGTAGGTTGGTTTATTGGATTAGGGGTCAACAACTTCCTCGGTGATGATAGGGAGAGAGGGCAACTATATACCTTTAATGGCGGCATCTTCATCTTCTTCCTCATCTTCTTCATCATCTGAGAAATGATGATTCTCCTTTGGTTTAAAGACAATCACTTGCCTCTATTTTTGTTCTTACTAATAGCAGTCAGATTAATGTTTTTAAGCGAAAATAAACTTACAATGAATCTTTTCTTGTCCTTGGCATTGTAGTATCTTCTTATTTTCTACTTAGCGCGGTAACTATACTCTTCTAGCTTAGATTCTTCGATCCACCTTACATGAAGGTAAGACTGGTCTGCAAATTTAACTAAAAACCAGTTTTATGTCTTCTGATTGCCTTGGACTATCAACGATCGGGCAATTTTTTAGTTGTTAGAGTTTTCTATTAAAGATGATAAAATGAAGATGATTGATTACATTGTTAAGAAACTTATACCTAAGCCATTTCTACTTGCTTGTCCGCTAAAATCTGGTCGATTTCAGGTGAGAAGGGATCTTCATCTTCGTATGTATCTTCCATATCCTCTTCAGGTTCTCTTTCGTTTTTGGTTTTATGTGGCTTTGGCTTCGATTGTAAGTTTTTCTTTCCGGCATCATTCTAATTGTTAGAGTTGTCATAGTCACTATCATTGTCACTTTCTTCGTTTTGATCTTCATCGTCAAAATCATCTTCTTCTCCGTCAAAATCGTCTTGATCATAGCCTTCATCTCCATAGTCGGAGGATTCATAATTGTACTTCTTTCTCTTAGCTGGCATTTCAATAATGCTGCAGATTTAGAATTTATTAATGATATTAAATAGTAGAGGATTTAGATTTTAAGCACCTCACAAACATATATAATATTTATATTGCATCAACGATTCTCCAATCATTCACTCTACTAATCTCTCGGGGTTTTGGGGTTTTGGGGTTTTGGGG